TTGACCGGTTTTGATTTTTATTTTGATATATTTTGAATTGCGTGACACTGAAAACCAGCAATTGCCAAAATAACAACGTGACACATCACGCAACATATAGCCAATCAAAAGATTAGATTGTTGAAATGTGTCTTAGATAGAGACCACCTTCCTATCTGCAAAGCTCAAGGCAATGAAACTTCTCTGGCGTTTATGGCTGTCTGAAAATTAACAGTCACACACCGAATCGGGATTTTATATGATCTTGAGCGAGACCGGAAGTTGCATTGATGTTCTTGTTATATTTGGCGCGGCCGGTTTTAGATTTTGCGGTGTAACATTTTTCATGATTAGTCAACAATACTGTCACACTAGGAACCGTTAGAATGCCGGTTGTCGTCGGCATTCTGTTATAACTATATCGATGCAAATGATGCAGTCTGATTCGCCAAGCTATTGTGAGGTCACCCACGGCATTCTCGGAGACCCAGGGGCAGTACGTTGAGGCAGGACGAAGTCAGCCCGGCAAAAATTGAAGTCACGAAAGTTTATAAGTAAGGCGGGAAGACCCTCTAGGAAGGAACGGCTCTGCAAATGCTGGCCCCTGATTGGGCGCAAAAAATAAGCATTAGCATAAGCGAAAATCCGATATCTTGGTTTACTGTATCGAGGAGGTATGGAACCGAAAATGAGTCAATTATCCATTCTGCGCATGCCTACGTAGTAACGCAGACTCTGGGAACGAGATTGGTATGTGTTCTGTGGGCGGCTCACTACCGCAACCGTGGGTGCTTACCATTATGCCAGCCACATCGACCGGTCAGAGACAAGTGGAACAACCAGGAGCAACATTTTCCAATCAAAGGCGGGCCAATCAAGAGGAATGGCTCTTACCATTTTTAACTCCGCTAATGACGTAGTCATTAACCCGAGATGTAGGTGTGGATGGAACACGACACTCCTTCCTTCCATCCTTCCGTAAGTAGATGTAGTACTGTAAGTAGATTAAGCAGTTGTATTAGTATTGTAAGTAATATATGTTTATGTATTGTAACCATTATAAGTGTGTGGCAATAGAAATTGAATTTTAAAAAAATAAAAAACTAAAGTGATAACTTAGGGCTCGAATAACTCTAGCTTATTTTTAGTTCGAAATCGATCGATGTGCTGGACGAATTCTCGACTGATTAAAAGCTCCAGATGATATTTCATTGCAAAGCAAACGCTGTATTTCGGTAAATGCTTTTTTATAATGCTTTTTAAGCATCGGAAAGGCAAACGCTGTGTTTCGGTGAAAGTTTTTTATATATAGAAATAACAGGAACCTTCAGCGCAAACCTCAACGTAGCAAAACAAAGGGCTTAATGAGTAGCACCAGATGTGGTTCTTGATACAAAAGGATAGCAATTATTTAGACTTTCAGTAATATATAAACACAGAGGGTGTATCCTGGGAGAAAGCGAAAACCAAAGCTATACGTGTATTTATAATACCATGGCCAATGCAATAGATAGTGTTCTGTGGTTTCTGTGGTTGAAGATCTCACTCACGATTGGTTATTACACAATAAACATTCCATGTATTTTATGTGTTTACGGTTTTGTGAGTTTGACTGTAATAAGTATTTCTTTGCAAAACACTTGGGAAACTTTGC